CCCGCGCCCCCCAGACTTGGGGGACGTCTTCCTGGCCCCCGGGAACTCCCAGGAAATTCCCCCGAGAGGGCCCCGCTTCCCAGGCTCGGTGACCATCTGTGCCTGCTGAGTCTGCGCCCGTCCGTACCTGGGGGCGGCGGGCAGCCCCCAATCTGCCCCTGCCCTGGCGTTGCAGCCGCGGGCTCTCTCGGCCTGGTCCCCTGCGCCCCACAAGTGCTGGCGGGGGGCTCCTGCGTCCCGGTCGCCGCGCTCCACTTGCCTTCTCGGTGGGAGGCCAGATTTAGGGGAGAGGGCTCTTCAGCCCCGCACCGCAGATGCGCACTGTCCCGCGTGGACGGAATTGGGGCTCCGGGGCTCTGACGTGGGGTCCCCGCTGTGCCCGGAGATGACGCTTGTAGCGGATGAGGAGTCGGCCTGGGGTCCGTTTCTGCCTTCTGCAGAAGGGGCTGTGGGGTCTGGGGCGGTTGTTGGGACCTCTGCCTCAGTTTCCTGTCTGTAAATTGAGTTTTCATTGGTGGCTGCTTTTGACTAGCCGGGACCCAGGACCCAGCTTCTAGGTGCCCAGGGGGCAGGAAAATTTATTGTTCTTAGTTTTTCCATACTAGGAGTGGAACCCAAGGTCTTCATGCTGAGCTACATCTCCAGCCCTTTGTAATTGATTGAACTGAATTTGTTTTTTTTTTTTTTGAGAAAAAGTCTCACAGAATTACCCAGACGGGGCTTGAATTTGCAGCCCTCCTGCCTCAGCCTCCCAGAGTGCTGGGATAACGGGTGTGTGCCACTGTGTCCAGCTGGGCACTTCCATTCTTAGTTGTTTTTGAGACTGGGTCTCACTCTGAGGTTCAGGATGGCCTTGAACTCACTCTGTAACCCAGGCTGGTCTCCAGCTTGTGGCAGTCCTCCTGCCTTGGCCTCCCTAGTGCAGATTACAGGTGTGCGCCACATCACCTGGCTCCTTCCTTGTTTTTGGTGGCTCTGGAATGTCTCATTAGTTACTTTACTATCACTTAAATGTGGTTCTATCATCGCATTCTGGTTATTGCTGTTAATGTTTTTATTGGTAGGTTTGTTATTACTTAAATACCAAGACAGGGTCTTGTTGAGCTACTGTAGTGGCTCAGGCTGGGCTGGAACTCGAGATTCTCCTGCTTCGGCCTCCGGGCGTGTTGGGAAAACAGGTGTTTGCCCTCTGGCCCAGTTCAGATCTGTCTGAAAGGCAGGTGTAGACACTAGGTGTGGAAATGTAGACCCATCTCCGGTAATCATTTCCTCATTATTGCCCTGTCCTTGGTGTTCCTGGCAGCTGACTCCCTCCTCTGCCACACCTGCTGAGTCAAGGCAGCCCTGTTTCCTGCTGGGGAAATCCTGCAGGTTCCCCTGTTGTCCCAGGGTGGGAGCGTGTGTTCTTTTGTGTTTTCAGGTACTGGGGATTGAGCCCAGGGCTTTCACGCTGAGCTCCATCCCAGCACGCACCCCCTCCTTTTGGTACCAGGGATTGAACTCAGGACCTTGCACTTTTGAGGCAGGCTGGCACCGCCATTTTCCTTGTTTAAATAGTAAATTGTATTTTATCCCATTTCCCCCTCAAGCCCCCTCCCCTCTCTGTGTACAAAAGCTTTGTTTCCATTTTTCCCTTCTATTTTCACTTTTTTTTCTTGTCACTTCCTTTCCCCCAGACCTTTTTAAAGTTTGTTGTTGTTTTTTTTTTCTCCGTACCAGGAATCTAACTCAGGACCTTACACTTGTGAGGCAGCTGTGGTGCCCTTTTTAATTTTGAGACAGGGTCTTGCTAAGTTGCTAAATCCCCACACCCCACCCCAACCTTTTAACGATATTTTATTTTGAGACAGAGTCTCACTGAGTCGCTTAGAGAGGGTGGCCCAGGGTGGCCTTGAACTTTGGATCTTCCTGCCTCAGCCTCCCAGGATGTGTGCCACCACACAAGGCTGGAAGGTGTATTCTTGCCCTGGGCAGTGGCGGGCAGAGGATCCTATCTCTTAAGCCCACAGGAGCAGAGATGGGCCATACAGGGTCTGTTTTCCTCACACACGGCATGATTCAGCCCCGTTCACCCCTTGTTCTCCTGTCCCCTTTCTCTGGGTGCCAGGACCCCACGGTCTAAGCATCTCCTGACCCCTGCCTGCTCCAGGCAGCCTCAGGACCGCCCCTCCCCCGAAGCTGGTCCCGTTTCCCTGTCTGTAAAGTGGTCTTCTTAAATGGTATGGGTGGCTTCTGCTAACTGGGTCTTGGCTAACAACGGGAGCAGTTTGGTTTTTCAGTCAACTTGGTAGATGGTGAGCCCGCAGGCTGCAGGCTGTGTGGCTGGGGATCTGGTATTGACCAGTGGGGCCGGGCTTGTCCTCTGGGGTACAGAGGAGTGGAAAGTGGCTTAGGAGTAAACAAGTCAGTGGCCCCTCTGGTTCCGGGGCCAACCACAAAGAAGGAAGAAAGACTGGGGCCGTGGGGGGCGGGGTCTGCCCTCCGGGAGGGGAGGTGACACTGGGACAGCGACTTGAAGGAACTAAGAAAGTGCTGGGCCGGGGTGAGGCCTCTGGAGCCCTTGGGAGACCCCTGCTGGGCTGCCAGGCGATCCAGTTCAAGGTCCACACAGGTCCACGCTTCCCAGGGGCTGCTGTAAAAACGGGGTGCGGCGGATGTGGGGTGTTATCAGCCCCATCCAGCTGCTGGGTTGTAGGGTTGGGGTTCTCGCGCATCAGGGCAGCCCAGAAGTGCTAGCCTGGGGTAGTTCCTGGAGCGCCCAGTGGTTGCCACTGTCCTGGAGGCTTGATTTGCAGTGCTCAGCCTGCAGCTCCGGGCAGTGACTTTGCACTGGGTTTACTGACCTGTGACATCAGCAGAGCAGTGTTTGTCTCCTGGAGGGGCAGTGTGAGTGACAGGGAGATGAGCCCAACATGGAGGAAACGCCCAATGCGGGAAGTTGCTCTGATCAGGAACGGTGAGTGTGGGGGATGAGCTCCCTGTGGCAGGAGGAAAGCAAGCAGGGTGAGCCCTTTTTTATTTTGAGACAGGGTCATGCTGGGTTGCCCAGGCTAGACTTGGATTTAGGGATCCTCCTGCCTCGGCCTCCCAGTGTGCTGGGATCACAGACACGTCTGGCCAAAAAAAAAAAAAAAATACAGAAACTTGGCACTGTTTACACACGTGCAGACTCTGCACACGTTGGGCTCACACCTGAACTGACCCTTCTGCGTATCCCCCCAGCGGGGATCAGACACGTCGGGCAAAAAAAAAAAAAAAAAAATAGAAACTTGGCACTGTTTACACACGTGCAGACTCTGCACACGTTGGGCTCACACCTGAACTGACCCTTCTGCGTATCCCCCCTCGAGGGCCCTGGAATTTTTATTTCCTAGTCTTCTACAGGGAGGCCCAGAGTGCATCTGTCTTTAATTTGTGTCTTGGACACTGAACACTAGGAAAGTTTTTGTGGAATTTTCTGCTCATCCTTGCCCTTGAGAGGCAGGCGGCAGAACCACTTAGCTAAATGGGCTCACACCTGAACTGACCCTTCTGCGTATCCCCCCTCGAGGGCCCTGGAATTTTTATTTCCTAGTCTTCTACAGGGAGGCCCAGAGTGCATCTGTCTTTAATTTGTGTCTTGGACACTGAACACTAGGAAAGTTTTTGTGGAATTTTCTGCTCATCCTTGCCCTTGAGAGGCAGGCGGCAGAACCACTTAGCTAAATCCCGGGCCCTATTTTATTTTTTTGAGAACCGATTTGACAGTTCTTTTTATTTATTTATTCTTACTTTTTACGATACTAGGAATTGAACCCAGAGGTGCTCTACCACTGAGCCATGCCCCAGCCCCTTTTTATTTTTTTATTTTGAGACAAGCTCTCTAAGTAGCCCAGGCTAGGCTCTAACTTGGGATCCTCCTGCTTCAGCCTCCTGTGTAGCTGGAATGATCCAGTGTGAGCCACCATGCCAGGCTTCCTGCTGGGCAGGTTTCCAAGTCTGGTGGTGTCCTACCCTGCTATGCTTTCTCCTTCCTGGGAAGTTTCCATCCAAGAGCCCCCTGCACACCCTGGATGGCCACTGTGCCCACCGTACCTGCCTGTCCCTGTCACCCTGGCCCTCTGTGCCCAGTGGGAGGCCTCTAATCCATGCCCACATTAGCACCAGCTGCAGGAGGGGGCACTTAGTTCAGGATTAGCTGAGTGTTCTGTGGGCTGCGCTCTCCCTGGTGCCAGTTCCTGGGCATCCTTAGGGGGGAGCCGGGGACATGAGGCTGGGGGGCTGGCGTGGCCTTTGTCCAGGCTCTTGGTTCTCTGATGTCCTGAGGGGCTGGGGGTTCAGGTCCCAGCTGTGGGCTTCGCGGACTTGAGACTGAAATCTGAATGGCAAGGGAGCCGTGGCTTTTTCTGTGGGACTCTGGGCTCACATACGTCTTCCCATCACTAAGCCTCAGTTTACCAGTCTGTCATCTCACATGTATCTGCTTCCTGGGGGCCAGGAGGAGGACACAAGATGAGATTGGAGGGGCCTGAGGCTGCACACACGGGAGGGCTGAACTTCTCCTCCCTGGTGGAAACCAAGTGGGCGGCAGCTGCAGTCTGATTCCGCTTGGGACCCCCGCTTATCTTGGCCCACAGGCCGCTGCAGGGCTGCCTGCCCGCCCTGGCCTCCTCCCAGGTGAAGAGATTCTCAGCTTCCAGGCGGAAACAGCACTTCATCAACCAGGCAGTGCGAAACTCAGACCTGGTGCCCAGGGCCAAGGGGCGGAAGAGCCTCCAGCGGCTGGAGAACAGTAAGCCGGAGTGTGGTGGGGGGCACCTCTCGTTTGATGGTGATGTGCGTGTCAGTACTGAGTCACAGAGCAGGAAACAGAACCAGACAGACTTGTGCCCGGAGGCTGGTCTGGGGATTGGAGCTGGGGCTTTAAGGGATGTTTAGGAGTTCAATAAAGCAGGGAGAAGCAGGTGGAGCTGAGGAGGCCGCATAGCTTCCTCCTCTTTTCGTCCAGCCCAGTACCTCCTGACCCTGCTGGAGACAGATGGCGGCCCTCCTCCCGGTCTGGAGGACGGGGACCTCACACCTGCTGCGGCTCCAGGCATCTTCGCGGAGGCCTGCAGCAATGCCACCTACATGGAGGTGAGGCCATTCCCTCAGGGGGCTGCACGGGGTAGGGGTGCAGGTCTGATTCCGACTCATCCCGGGAGCTCAGCTCCTGTGCTCATCGCGTTGGAGTAAAGGGGCCCACAGGGGAGTAGGGCCCTCCTTAGGGGTCCCCAGTATCCCCTGCAGAGGTCTCTAGGGAGTACTGCCGCATACTTGGCAGCCTCCTGCGTCCACTTGCCGCACTCCAAGGGGGGAAACTGAGGCCGAGACCTGCAGTCACCGCCTGCCTCTCTTCCAGGTATGGAACGACTTCATGAACCGCTCTGGGGAGGAGCAGGAGCGGATGCTGCGCTACCTGGAGGACGAGGGTCAGAGCAAGGGCCGGAGGAGGGGGCCGTCCCGCGGGGAGGATCGCAGGAGAGGTGGGCCTGTGGGCGGGGAGTGTGGTGGGTGGGGCAGGGTGTGGAAGCTATGATTGGTGGGTGGGCAGGGTCTTGTAGGCGGGGCCATGGCGCTGGTAGGGCCTTGATGAAATAAGGGGGAGTGTGTGGGGGTCTTGGGGTGGAGCCAGAGTATAGATAAGGATATAGGTTTGGTGGTGGGTGGGGCTAATTAGCGTGTGGGCGGGGCTGGCAGCCTCACCGCTACCCTGGCTTCTTGCAGAGGACCCGGCCTACACTCCTCGCGAGTGCTTCCAGCGCATCAGCCGGCGCCTGCGATCTGTGCTAAAGCGGGGCCGCATCCCCATGGTAAGTGCCAGGTTTCCCTGCCAGTCAGCTTTCTTCATTGTGTTTTTTTTTTTTTTTTTTTTTTTTT